CATATATGTGATAAAACTATTAATAAAAATAATTAATTAATATATATAGAGGGATGTGATCAAATAAGAATGATGGTATAATGGAAGAAATGAGAACAATTGTACACCACTCGATCTACTCAATCAAGGGCTGAGATCCAATCAACACTTATTAATCACTGTTTGACTACGCGGTGGCATAGTCGTAAATACCTTAATTTTGACGGACAATTTTGTATGTTTGAGGGAAGTTCCGTCTTTCGTCCACTTGCAGAGGGTAAGACCTTCTCCAACCGACACCAAGAACTCAAAAAATGAAGTGATTTGCCCCCCAATCGATACCCAAACGCAAAACGCAAAATGAGTTTTTCCAACTCTCTCTCCTCTTCTACACCAAATTTGCATTTTCACTGTTCCAAAACGTAAAATCTTTTTTTAATTACAAGTTGAACCTTTTTTGTTTTGTAGGTTGTTATTTGTATACTAATTTATTTATATTGTTTATTTGTATTACCACATTTGATTTTACTGTGTTTTATTTTTGTCGTCATTATATAAAATAAACAATAAAAGTTATAATATTACTAAAACATTTATAGATTATGCATATTTGACAACAAGTTTAAAATAATAAATATTATATTTATCATTTAATTTATATATTTCACAATAATAATGTAAAATATACATATTATTTATTAGTGTGTTGTAATTTTTAATTTTATCTTGTATGTTATAATTTATAAATTTTATTTTTAATTAATATTTATTTTTCCAATTTTATTATGTATACGATTATAACGTTATAATTTTATTTATTTCTCCAATTTCGTGAAAATTATATAATACGATATTTAATATAATTAATATGATATTATTTTATATTTGTTCATAATAGAGTAATTAGAGCATATTTACAAGTTAATTTCATATTTACAATCTAGACCATATATGGTTTAGGGCATATATGGTTTAGGACATATATTCACTAAGAAAATCTAGACTGTAAATATGCCCTAAACCATTTATGGTCTAAACTATATATGCCCTAAATTATTTTCTAAAATGTGAATATATAATTTTTATAATTACTATTTGGGTAATAAACATTTATATAACATTACATATTCATATATAGCAAATTATGTTAAATAAAAATAAATAAAATATATTTTTATTATTTGGGTAATTAACATTTTATATAAGATTAAATATACATATATACCAATTTATTTGAAATAAAAAATAAATAAAAAATAATATATTTAATGTAGAGTAAAATATAGAGATAAGAGTTGGAGATGAATGTTCAACTCTACTGTAGAGTAGAGTAAAGTCCGCGCTAGAGTAGAGATAAGGGCTGGAGATGGCCTTATACATATTAATTTAACTTTTTCACAATAATAATGTAAAATAATAAAAGAAATTATTTCATACAAATTAGATAGTATAATATTTAAAGTAAAAAATATTATAGTTATCATTTAATTTTATATATTTCACAATAATAATACAAAATATACATATTATTTATGGTATTTTTATTTAACAAGAAAAAAAACACTAACATTAAATAACAACAACACTACTAATATAGATTGAAATAACAATAATACGTTATACATTACGATTTATAGAAAAACATTTAAATAACAAGTGCTGAAATTGAATTGAAAATAAAAGTATGGTTTAATTTGTAAAGTTGTAAAATATGTGGGTAGTATTGAAAAATTGTAAAAGTTGATGTAAAAGAGAATATTCCGAGAATATACTTTTGGGTTAAAAAAAATGGGTTTTTTGGTTGGAGATGAATTACTGCAAAATGGGATGTGTACTGCAAAATGGGTTTGAATTTGGTGTATTCGGTTGGAGATGCTGTAAAGGTAGAATTTTCAGACCCATTAATTGCATCTGATTTTTAGGTCAGACACGAGCGAGCTCATTGGGTAATCGCGACGGTTTCTCAGATTTGGAGTGTCTCTTGAGCTCAAATTCTCATCGGAATCCATAGTGAGTTTAACGGGCTTGCTTATACCATGCTTGTTTTCTGAAGTTTTGTGGTGATAACTTCTGTATTTCGTTCATTTCAGATCCAAATGTTCGTGGAAATCCCGAAAAGACGGTAACAGACGAAATAGTATGGGGACTTCGCAATAAACGGGGAAGAGAGGTAAGGTTCTTTAAGTTCAGGTCGATTAGGCAGCTTATTTGACGTCTCATTTGCAGGAATGGAAAAAAAATACTTATACCTGTAAATATATATATATACATATATATATATAGATATATATATATATATATATATACATGGTTCATCTGTTTCTGGTAATTATTGAGAATTTTGTTGTAAGTAGTAGGTGTTCTATGTTCTATGTGTGTTTATTTTGGTTATATCAAGTAGTGTCCAGCATTGCTGTCATAGATCTGTCTAATATTTGTTCATGATTCATTAATTAATCTAAAAAAAATACAGAATTATAATAACTTTACAATTTGGATAGTCAGATGGTAAATTCACATGACACACTAGAGTGTATTCTCACTCATATTCATATTTGCCTAAGTTTGAACCCATTATCATTATTATCACTATTTATAAAAATTTCCCCAAATAAGTTTATGAAGTGTACGATTAATGTTTCATTGTGTGTAGGTACTACTCGTAAGACGACTGACATCGTACCTGAACGTAATGGTGAAGGCAGTACACAGAATGATGAAGGAGGTAGACTATAATAATCTGTATGTTGTATGTTGTGTTTAGTTCGTTTCACTTTATAGCTTTAAGTGTAGATATGTATGTATTATCAGTATATAGTGCATTTGGTGCTTTGACTTATGGTGTATCATTTCTAATATTTATTATCTCTTGTTAGTGACCCGACGTCGGACAAGATTGCCCTCTGTACGGCAAAGGGCCACATCCAGGAAGTCTGATAAGTCACGAGAAGGTAATTGTTTATGAAATACTTATATCTATATTATAAAGTTAGTCTGTTCTAGTATTTTATTAGTGTTGTTTGCTTTCATGCGAGTATTTTCAACCATTGTGTGTTGTAAATTTCCAGTGTCGGAGAGCGCTATCGCTACACCAGAACGTGCCAGTGTTCACTTGAAGTGATTGAAACTTGGTGCCCGCACACCGAGCCAGTCTGATAACGACGATTATGTTGACGATGTACCCCTGGCAGATATTACAGCAAAATGTAATGTCACTCGTCGCTCTACAAGACTGTCGTTAGTACAATAAGGTGACGCCTCCACAAAGCACGATAACCCACAAGAAGGTAAGTATTTATGGAGTATTAATATCCACATTATAAATTTAGTCTACATTATTAATGATCTTTCGATTTATATGCGCGTTCTGAACACTTCTGTGATGTACAGATCCGACCTTGGATAGAATGATCGAGGAACTAGAACGTGATGCACCAGAACGTGCTAGTGACACTTTGAAACATTCGGAGGTTGGTGCACGCAAATTGAGTCATCCTGTTAGTGATGACGTCCTTGATGATGTACCTCTGGCAAAACTTGCAAAAAGACGATATGGTACTGGACATCTGCCCTTATTACAGAAAGGTGACACGACCAGGAATCATGCTAACACAAAGGACGGTAATTACTTACTAACTAATGAAATTGATATTCTAAGGTAGTCTTTATTATTAACGCCTTGTGTTTCATATGTGTATTTATAAATCCAGTGTCAAATGACTCTTAACG